TGAAAAACTGTTTCTCAAAATAGAAAACTTGAAAACACGTTTACTTTGAAATTTTGAGAATTTTTTTTATAATTTCTTATTCAATAAATCTGATTATTCAATAAATTTTAATAGTTTAATTTTAATATAGTAGTAAATAATATTGAGATGCCTTGTCAATTAAATTTGGCAAGTCCTTGATTATAGCATTTATATTGAGATGTCTTTTCACGAGTAAATTTGAGGAGTAGAACCGACATCATTAATAGAGTCGAGAGAAAGTAAATAAAAGACCAAAACAGTTTCAATTTTAGTTAATTATCTTAGTACATCCATACAATTAAAAAAAAATTGCTAAAAAAATACGAAGTTTCAATAATAAAGAAATTTATTACACGGGTTGCTTTGTTCTCTATGTACAAATAAAAATTTTACTAGAAAATGAGCCACACAGGTTTTTGATCTATATAGACCTTGTTCATTAACAAGCTCCCTTGAAAGCTCTACCCATTTACTCGTTACCAAATGAAATTGGCTGAACTGGATAACAAACCGAAGATAACTATGATAACTAATTCATTGACCCACTGCGTTGTCCGGATCTGTGTTCGAATCGAGTCTGACAACTATGATATCAACGATCATTTTTTGACCAAAATAAATGAAAAAATAACTCTCTACAACAAAAATTTTCTGTCATTAAAAGTGAAATTTCTCGTGGTCCTCAATTCAAGAAATTATATGCCAACGATTTACAAGGTCATGAATCAAATCATTATAGGGTAATAATGCATCCGGTTAGATGGAACCATTTTCTGTGTGTCATCTGCTAGGAAATAAAATAGATCGAGATAATTGACAGATGAATATAGTATTTTATTCAATTGACTAATATGGATAAAACAAATACAATAATTGTGCAGTGCATACACAATTATTCTATATTTCAGTAATACAAAATTTGTGAAAAAAGTCTAGTATTTATAAGGATGAATGTCAAATCCTAAAAATACCACAAACATGAAAATAAGATAAAAAATCACGTGGAATAAATGAAGGAAAAAAATTTCAAAAAAAAAAAAAAAAAAAATCTAACCTAATTTGGGTGAAGAAAATCCAACATCATCATTTTGTGTTGAATTTCTTAGGTTGAACGTTGAAGGGAACAAAGATAGCACATTTACCAGTCAAGAAATTCCAAATGAGAATCAAACTCAAGCAATTGGTTGGAGATTTTATTATCTTTCTTGACTCTTGGGAAATGAGTATTATGGTATACTACCCACAATGCACATGATCTTGCCATTGAACGATTACAAAACTCTTCTTAAAGGAAGACCTCTCTTGAAACCCGCACATTAAATACAAAAAAGAAAAAAAAAAAAAAAATTTGGGATCATTTGCGTCGATTTCCCTATTATTTGACAACCATGCCTCATATTACTCTCGCTATTTTGAGTACAGACACAGTAAATTTTATAAAAAAGAACAAAATCTCATAATAAAACTCAACTTCTTGATTCACTCAAAAATATCAAGGAAGAGAGAATATTTCGAGAAACTTTTCAAGTCTTTATTTTCAAGTAATTTCATGCTTTCACACGGATTAAGAAAGTTTCTTTAATGTCATTGAAAAATAAATTTTTGTCAAGATCTTTCCTAATTTACCCCTATTTAATTTTCAGTATGTAAAATTGAATTATTGTTGGAACTAATAAAGAATTTGAAGAAGAAGAAGAAGAAATGAGAGTTATTTCATTTTTTCAAGAAGTGAGAAATGTGTGTATTTGGATGATTTCAAGAAATTTCTTTCCTAATTTACCCGTATATAATTTTCAGTATACAAAACTAAATTATTGTTTGAACTAATAAATAATTTGAAGAAGAAGAAGATGTAGAAATGAGAGTTGTTCCATATTTCCAAGAAATGAGAAATGTGTGTATTTGAATTATTTCAAGAAATTGACATATTAAGTGGGAAAAATTTAATAAGGGTATATTGGTAAATGAACACAACAAAAAATTCTACATTAGGGAACATGCCTATATATTTGGGACAAGAGAAAAAGGAAACCCAACCTATATAATTGGGACGGAGGAGTAATTAAGATAAATTGATCGTCTCAAGTCTTACAACTAGTATTTAAAACAATGAACCTGTTTGAGCCCCACTAAAAGGTTAATAACATATTTTGGAATAGTAAATTGATAAAGATGTTTGGTTAAAAAATAAGAAAAAAAATTTCGATTTATATGTAATATTATTTTATTGAAAAATATGTGGTTGAGAAAAAGAGAGAGAAATATATTTTGGAAAAAAAATGAAAATCAAACCAGGGTAATAAATAAATTTGAATAATGACCAAATTTCTAATTTACAACTAAATCTAAATAAAGAAAAGAATTAGAAATGACAACTAAGTATAAATAAAATTAAAAATAATGACTAGTTCTAGAATCAGGTACTTGCCAATATTATCCATTCATCTTGCCAATAAGAATTTCCTTTTGAATTTTTTTATTAATTTCTATTCGTAGGCAAATATACAAATATAACCTCTATAAATCCATTATCTATAAACTAATAACCTCCACTATATAGTAATTTTTGAGTCCTCACTTGGTTCGATTTTATAAATTAATAATTTCGATGAATTGATAAAACTTTTTTTCCAAAGTATGTCTACAAAATTCGTGGTTTCATTCATACCATACAAAATCCATTTTGAAAAAGCACATGTCCTCTTACCCTTACAGCTTTATTTCTCGTCCCCAAAAAAATTCGAATTTAGGATCACTATCTTATAACATACTTAAGCTAAATTTTGATACCACTGACTAATGACCCGACTTCTGTGACTAAATCGTTAACTCATTACATACTATTTTTTTTGGGAGAGTACCAATCATCTTATCCCTTATGACTTTTTATCAAATTTTGGAGGTGAGATGAAAATTTGTGAGGTATTAAAAGGCAAATGATCTTTCCAAGGGAACAATACGTAATGAATTACGAATTGGACACACAAGTCAAATCATTTTCATATTTTTACTTTTCATAAAATCTATTCTAAAAACAATCTCTACTAGGGGTGTAAGCGGTCCGATTTTTGCGATTTTTGACAAATTTTCAAACCAAACCGTTTTGACCGGTTTGAGAAAAACTCAAACCTAAACCAAACCGTTTTGACCGGTTTGAAAAAAACTCAAACCTAAACC